GGTAGGGCCCAGGCCACTGTGGGCTTTGCTGTCCTGGCAGGTCATCTTGGATTATATAAAAAAACAAGCTGAGCAAGTCAGTAAGTCGGCTTTAAGTCTTGGCTCTTCTTTCATGCTCTTTGGTGGTCTCTGCTCTGGTTCCTGCCCTGACTCCTTCCCTTCATGAAAGGCAGTAAGCTCTGAGATGACATAAACCTATTCTCCCTAAGTTGCTTTTGGTCATGGTGTTTCCTCACAGTTAGAAACCCTAAGGCAGAGCTTGATACCATGTTCATGGGATATTGCTGTAATTGAACTGACCATGGTGTTTTGGGGGAAGATTGTAGAAGGAATTTGGAAATTTGGACTGGAAAAGCGGTTGAGTGTTGAAAGCTTACTGAGCGGTTGTGAGAACTTGGAAAATAATGCTCAGAGTAGTGCAGATGATGGAGGCCTGGTTTCAGAGGAAACTCTGAGAGCCCTTAAAGACTATGAAGTCATTGGTTATTCATGTAAATTCATATCAAGAATCTGGAATGCTGGTTAGGTGGGACTGATTAAGAAGCGGTCAACACCACTAAGGTGAAACTTTTGCTTTACTTGGGACAGTTACTGCTGATTAGCTGGAGCTGGGAAATCAGTTAGGACTAACAAAGGACCAGCATCGCTGATGTGAAGACTTCTGGGAGTTTTTTCTTCAGGGGTTAGCACGTAGAAGCTATGGTCAAGAGGCGACTGAGGCTACAGCTCATTCTGGCTTTGATAATGTGTGAGGTTATCTCACTTAGTACTAGTTTTAAGGGCATATAGGGTCACAGAAAGCAGCTTGGCACTTTCGAGAGGCCAGGAGAGGCCATTGGAGACAGCAGTAAATGTGAGTGACCACTGAGGACAGCAGCAGCTGTGGAGTGCAGCGGCCCTGAGCCTGTGAAACACGCTGGACAAACAGAGCTGCATAGGCCCTGTGGAACCTAGAGGATTGTCAGTGAGTCCCAGACATCAAGCTGAACTTTTTCTTTTAAGGATACAACATTCTGCCTCCATGTGTGCCTGCACGCCAGAAGAAGGCTCTAGATCTCTTTGTAGATGGCTGTGAGCCTCCATGTGGTTGCTGGGAATTGAACTCAGGACCTCTGAAAGAGCAGCCAGGGCTCTTAACCTCTGAGCCCCAAGCTGAACTTTTTTACATTGTTGAATTTTGGTTTTGCTTGTGATTGGGCCTTGGTTCTTCCCACTTGGAATAAAAAGTACATAGTTTATTTTGATTTTACAGGAGCCTACAGTTACACTCCTCCCAGTCCATCTCCCTTTTTCTCCCCCATTTCCCATCAGAAAAGAGTAGGCTTCCCAGTGATACCAAATGGACACGAGACTTGGGTATTTTTAAGAGACTGAACTTTTAAAGTGTAAGAATTTTTTTTTTAATTATGAGACTTTTTTTTTTTTTTTGATTTTTCGAGACAGGGTTTCTCCGTAGCTTTTGGTTCCTGTCCTGGAACTAGCTCTTGTAGACCAGGCTGGCCTCGAACTCACAGAGATCCGCCTGCCTCTGCCTCCCGAGTGCTGGGATTAAAGGCGTGCGCCACCACCGCCCGGCTTAAATTATGAGACTTTTAAAGTTATGTTTTATATTGTGATACTAAAATTAACATGAGATTTTAGGGACAAATGAGAAAAGAAAGATTATAGTTGAATAGTGATGTGTTTGTGTGTCAAGTTGACACGTAGTCAGTTGTGCTAGCTAGGTTTTCGTCAGCTTGATGTAAGCTAGGGTCATATGGAAAGAAGGCCTCTCAACTGAGGAAATGCTCCGTCACATTCACCTGTAGGGCACTGTCTTCATAAATGATTGATGAAGAGGGTCAGACCTACTGATGGGGCACTCCTGGGCAGGTGGCCTTTGGTTGTATAAGAAAGCAGGCTGAGCAATCCGTGGAGAGAAAGTTAGCAAGTAGCTCTCTTCCCTGGTCTCTGCTTCATTCAGTTCTTGCCATGACTTCTGTGAAGAACAGTAAGCTTTAAGATGAAATAAACCTTTTCCCCCTAAGTTGTTTTTGGTTATGGTGTTTATCACAGTAGAACACGTCCTGAATAAAATTACTTTGGAAGAAGTAGCCTTCAAAGTCAATAGATTCATAAAGCACAGAACAGTAAATTGAATGCCCAGACTGAAAAGCATCCCAACCTGATGAAGGGACAGGTAGCCCATCCAGACTGCTGCTGAGTTAGGTCTTATATGGAGTCCTTTGACAAGGTTGGTGTACAGTGGAGAGGATGACTTGGCCTGCTCAGGCTTCAGCCCCTCCTGTAGAATTTACTCTCTCTTTTACTGTCTGCTCAGTTGGTGGTCCTGCTGGAGTTTTTGTTTTCATCCCTAGCCTTCCTTTCCTCTTTTTCTTTTCTCCCTTTTCCTGTCTCTCCCCTTCCCTGCAGTGGGCTACCAATCAGCTCCCAATTCATGACTAGATACTTATTATTAGTTATGAATGCTCGGCTTTAGGCTCGTTTCTTGCTAGCTCTTATAATTTAACCAATTTCTCTTTATTCACACTTTGCCTCAGGGCTTTTTACCTTTCCTTCCTTCTGTGTGTCTTGTTTCACTGCTTCTCATGTGTGTCTGGTGGCTGCCTGGCTTCTGGTCCCAGGTGTGTCCCTCTCATTCTCCCTTGTTCTCTCCTTCTTTTCTCCTCTCTCTCTCTCTCTCTCTCTCTCTCTCTCTCTCTCTCTCTTTGGTTTTTTGAGACAGGGTTTCTCTGTAGCTTTGGAGCCTGTCCTGGAGCTAGCTCTTGTAGACCAGGCTGGTCTCGAACTCACAGAGATCCTCCTTCTTCTGCCTCTTGTGTGCTGAGATTAAAAGTGTGCTTTTTATTAGACCAATCAGGTGCCTTAGGCAGGCAAGGTGAAACAAATGCAACACATCTTTACATAATTAAACAAATACAGCACAAGTAAGTGTAACACATCTTTTCATTGTTAACAAAGGCAGCAGAAACAAATGTAACATCGTTAACAAAGGCAGCAGAAACAAATATAACACTTCTTTACACAAGTAAATATTCCGCACATAAATAAAAGTAGCATCTTTACATAGTTAAATATTCCACAACTTCCCACTTTCTCTTTCCTCTTTTTCTCTTCCTCTAGCCAGCTTCAGTGAAGACCTCCTCTCTTACCTGCAAGTATAAAGGACTGTAAATGCAAAGAGAACTAACTAGGAGGTTAAGCAATCAGTATTTAGAAATTTGGGCTGGAGGGGGCTGGAGAGATGGCTCAGTGGTTGGGAGCGTTGCCTGCTCTTCCCAAGGTTCTGAGTTCGGTTCCCGGCGACCACATGGTGGCTCACAACCATCTGTAATGAGGTCTGGTGCCCTCTTCTGGCCTTCAGACATACAGGCAGAATATTGTATACATAATAAATAAATAAATAAATAAATAAATAAATAAATGTTTTAAAAGAAACAAAAACAAAAAAAAAAAAGAAATTTGGGCTGGAAAGACAGCTCAACAGGGAAAGGTGCTTGCTACTGAGTCTGAGGACTTGAATTCAGTCTCCAGAACCCACTTGGTAGAAGGAAAAAACCAACTCCTTCAGGTTGTTCTCTGATCTCCACTCAGATCTACTCCCCAGTAACTTACACAAACAGATGTGATACAAATGAAAAGATAATTTTTTAAAAAGAAATAGTTGTTAAATACTGAACAGTAGCAGAAAAAATAACATCTTACATTTGATAGTGTGCTTTCTCATAGATTAGTTTTTAAACATCCCTGTGAGGCACTGCTGTCTCAGTTTGATAGTGGGTAAAACTGAAAAGGTGAGGTAGGAAAATGATTGTGGTTGAGTTCCTGCTGTGTTACATACCAGTAGGTGCTGAACTCAAACTCCCGTGGGGTTAAGGTCCCAAAGGAGAATAACACAGTCGGAGAGTGAATCGAGATGGCTGCCCGATTATTGAAAAAGACGACACCTTTTATATACTCTATAATTGTACAACGGATTAAATGAGAAAATGGATGAATGTGAGCTGGAGTGTGGCTTTTGATCTGAGGTTGAGGAAGCTAGCATTGACCTCGATAAGCTAATAGGCACCAGTCATTGTTAATGGAGGGGTCACAAGTTCTTCTTGTCAGAGAGAGAATGACTCCCGTTTGGCAAGCAGGAATTTTCTTCAAGCCCCAGAGGCACTTTTGGGAAAAGGATTTTCTTGGGGAACCAGATACCTCATTATAGAATGTTGCAGTTTTTTATATGACTTAGTTTTCCAAATATCTAATCCTTAAAGTGAGCAAAGACAAAGCTAGACAAATATTACTGTGAACCTGAGTAGACCTTAGAAATTTAAATCTTTTTTTTTTTTTTTTGAGTCAGTTTCTCTGTGTAACAGCCCTAGCTGTCCTGGAACTAGCTCTTATAGATTATGCAGACCTTGAACTCACAAAGATCCGCCTGCCTCTGCCTCCCAGGGTGCTGGGATTAAAGGTGTGTATCACCACCGCCCAGCAGAATTTATAAATTTTAATTATCAAAATGTATCTTACTTATCAAGCATATGTTACTTATCTAAATTTTCTAGCCGCCTGGTGTTAGCTTGTGTGGGAGTAGGCAGAGTTATGCTATATGATTCCATGGTGGGGGGGGGGATTTTTTTTCCAAAGAATTACTTTGTTTTCCAAAGAATTTAAGAGGCTACCATTGTATACATCCTCATCTTCCATTAAAGCCCACAGGAAAGGCTTAATACTGAGAATCATTAACAATGAGACTTGTCATCCAAAAAGTCGAAATGCTGGGACTTTGTCAAGCAGTAATAATCTCCATGCAGTCTGTGACAAATAGGAACTTTTGTGATTTATCCAAGTTTATACAGCTGGAAAGAATAGAGATTTGACCCTGGGTCATTGCATGAGTGCCATTTAATGCAGGACACATATTAGACGTAAGCAGACTAAGTGGATTGTGGATATATGCGGGCCGTTTTGTGATAGGGACTCACCTAAACATTTCTCCCTCTCTCTTCCAGCATCTACCACAAGCTTTAGTGGATCTGACAGTGAGACTGAGGGGAAACAACCCTGCGCGGAGAGTTTTAAGGATGACTTCAAAGCAGATTCCCTTGTGGAGGGAACATCTTCTCGCTATTCCATGTATAATAGTGTTTCCCAGAAGCTTATGGTATGTTACTGTTTAGAATGGATTTCTACAGCTGCCCAGGAGTGTGAGAGAAAGAGGGCAAGTGTGTGTTGGATTTGGGGTGGGGCACAATTGGCACAGGCTAGGTTGTGAGTATTTCTCCTCCACTTTCTGGCTGTTGGAATTTAGTAGAGAAAGTGTAGCCTTCTCTCAATACATGTGTCTGTCATGTTGGAATCATCCGTGAAAAGTGTCAGTGTCTCCTGTCTTGCCCAGAACTGGATCACTGTTTAGTACCCACATTAATTCATGCCCGTCATACGCATGTGTGGGTATGCTTTCCTAGACATGGGCGTGTCACAGTTGAGGAGGTTCCTGCTGTTTTGCTCTAGCGAATACTCTGAAAAGAAAGGACTCACTTCCTGTTGGTACTGAAAATAAATGCAAATAGCGTGGGCTCTTTCCATGGAAGGCCCTACTGTCCTCCCTAGCTTTCACATACACTGACAGGTAGCAAAGGAAAGGGGAAACGTACTCAATTTCCTTGTTAAAATGTAGTGGCCGTGCAAAGTTTGTCTTTTGTTCAGCCTCACCAGTGTCATGATTGGCTCCAGAATTTTGTTGGGTTAGTTTAAGATTGAGATGTGCTCCTGCTGAAGTTAGAGGTCAGGATGCCATTGAAGCCTGTGAGCTTTGGTCAGTGGAGATGGAGACACTCATAACTTAGCCCCTGACCCAGGGAACGGACCTTTGGCTGCTATACAGGATCTGCCCAGTCTGTAAGCGGCAGTGGCAGCTTTCAAACAATGTGGAATTAGACCTCCAGGAGGAATTAGACCTCTGTATTGAAGCTCTTTGAGTAAGAATCTGTAGGATTTGGGTCCCTGCTCTTTGAGGTCTTACCTTTGTCTAGTAACTCTGGGGGTTTATAGACAGGGAGGGCATTCAAAAAGGTGTTTCTGTGCCAGGACATTAATGTGTCCTCCTCTGTTCTATATGAAGCAGACTTTCAAGTTACTCTGAATAGGCTCCTGCAAGCCCACAATCCTGGGTAGAAGCTGCTGCTTGAAGCTGCTGTAACCTAAATTAGGTTCTCTTCATTAGCTCTATCTGGGATCTCATTTCTCCTTAATATGACAAAGTAGCTGAAAGGGAGAGCTGTGCAAATGTCCAGTGAGAGTCATTAAGTATTCTCAGTGCTAATCACGCTCTGCAGTCCCCTTTCATGTGTCTAGTGTCAGGTTGTCCTAGACGGCACCTGCAGAATCGATAGCTGCCAACCCACAGTGAGTTATTTATGCTTCTTTTCATCATCAGGCTAAAAGGCAAACTTTTACTCATGTATTTCTCAGGGTTTATCACAGTGTATGATCTGTGATAGGGACTAAGTAAATGTCTGTTGACTGAATTAATTGTGCTTTGTTCCTTTTTCAGGCCAAGATGGGCTTCAGGGAAGGGGAAGGATTAGGTAAATACAGCCAGGGTCGGAAGGACATTGTGGAGACCTCCAATCAGAAAGGCCGTCGTGGTTTGGGCCTGACACTGCAGGGTTTTGATCAGGAGCTGAATGTGGATTGGCGGGATGAGCCAGAGGTAAGCTGGTGAAGGTGCAGGAAACAGGAAAGCTGTTGGTGTTTTTGAATGGGTGGCTCTCTGAAACCCTGGGGAAGCAGTTTGAGCAGGGTGGTTAGAGGGGTTCAATGTTAGCATCTTACATGGAACGTGTGCTGCCTAGATTGATGTCAGCTTGACACAAGCTACATTCATTTTAGAAGAGAGAACCTCAATTGAGAAACTGCCCCCACCAGATTGGGCAAGCCTGTGATACATTTTCTTGATAGATAATTGATGTGGGAGGGTCCAGCTCACTGTGGGCAGTACCAGCCCCAGGTTGGTAGTCCTGGGTGTTATAAGAATGCACACCTTTACTTCCAGCATCCAGGAGGCAGAAGCAGGAGACTCACAGTTTGAGGACAGCTTGGTGCTATTAAGTGCTATTAAGTACAGAGTGAGTTCTAAGACAGCTAGGACTACACAGAGAAAAAAACAAAAAAAAGAAAGCAGGCTCAGCAAGTCATCATGAACAAGCCAGTAAGCAGCACCCCTCCAATGACCTCTGCTTTAGCTCCTGCCTCCAGGTTCCTGCCCTGACTTCCTTCAGTGGTGGACTGTGATGTGTAAGTGTAGGGAAATAAATCCTTTTTTTTTTGGTCATGGTGTTTGATGACAGCACTAGAGAAACCCTGACTAAGACAGAAAGGAGAACACTGAGGCTGTATTCAGAGAGACTTTGTTTCTGTTGTTTTCTAGAACTAAGATGGTTCTTTGGCTACACAAAGAACTTTTTTCAAAAAAAGATTTATTTATTTATTATGTATACAGTGTTCTGCCTGCATGTATTCCCTGCAGGCCAGAAGAGGGCACCATATCTCATTATAGATGGTAATGCTGGGAATTGAACTTAGGACCTTTGGAAGAACAGGCAAAGCTCTTAACCACTGCACCATCTCTCCAGCCCCACAAAGAACTTTTAATAGCTAAGTGGAATATTCTTAGTAGATTGTTAGACTTCACAGGCTAGGGAGTTCTCTCTCTGCTAGGAGGGTCCAGCAGGTGAATGGGCCCCCATTACTCCTCCAGTGCAGGATGGATTTACGAGCCTCTGATATTCTTCCATCTTCACAGGTTTTGTTATCCAGGTTGTACATGTGTTTGCTTGTGTACACTTCTCCTGTTGTACTTTTTACTTGATTGTATTTGTTGTAAGATAAACTTTTTTTGCAACAGTTCTATAAGAATGTAGGCTGTGAACTGGCTGTGGTGGCGCATGCCTTTAATCCCAACACTCAGGAGGCAGAGGCAGGTGGTCTCTGTGAGTTTGAGGCCAGCCTGGTCTACAGAGCAAGTTCTAGTTCCTTTGCAAACCAATTCTTACACATACCAGGAAAGTGCTACATCTCCAGGCCGAAAAGAGGCTTTTAAAATTTGTTCCCATGCATAGTGTTGAAGTTTTATTTATTTTATTTTTACCTTATTCTTCAAACGATCTGAAGTAGGTATAATAAAAGTGCCCAAAATAGTGATAATAATAATCTGAGATATTAGCATTACAGAGTTGAGGTTAAGGGAAGCAGCACCATTGTCTGACCATCTCATAGTGGCAGTAGATAGGCAGGTGTGGCTGTGAGCGCTGGGAACCTGTTGTAATTGTTACTGTGTGCATGCGTTCGCTGTAGAGATGCTGAGTGCTTTCCTTGTTCTCATTTGTGTGGCAGCAAGTGGATAGAGGTTCTGGTCCCGTCACTGTCAATCTGAAGTATGAAAGTTGATGTAAAAATCTCTCTGAAGGAGATAGGCTATTTTAAAAACCCCTTTTTCTGGTGAAGCCATTGCCGTTACCAGTGGCCATAATTAATTTTTCTCAGATAGAAGCTGCCTGGTAAGGAGGGTTGGCTGCACAGCCAGTTGGTAGCCACTTCTTTAAAGTGGATGAGGCTGGGTGGGCCACAGCGGGAAAGTGCTCAGAGGCTCCTGGAGCGCACAGGTGTAAAGTTCAAGGTTTTACATCTCGGGCAAATCTATCCCTTGGGTAGTCTTGATGTCCAGGCTTCCATGGGGAGATTAATTCTGCTTTTATTCAACAAATGATTGTCCACTGTGTATATAAATTTTTTGTTGTTGTATACGGCTTATAGTTTACATTTGTGCTTAAAGTCAGGATTTGAATGGGAGTAGAAACCATAACTCACTGCCAGATTCATGCACAAAGGCTTCTGTGATTTTTCTTTTTACTTTGCTATCTTAATGGTGGTTGGCTTGCCCTTGAGACCTTGCATTGTGATCCCATTTTACACCTCTCAGAGCATTTAATCACCTTTAATCACATTGCTTCAGTCTGCTATGGTGAATCCTTGCTTGGGAAGCAGTCTGTTCAGCTGACACTCGGGTTGACCACGTAGATAGGTTTTAGAATCCACATTTTTCTAGCCCAATGGAACTTAGTCCTAGATTCACTGCATAACTATTGCAGACTTAATATGTCCAGTCCCCACATCAGACCAACCTCAACTGTCTGCTCTAAAACATATTACTCTTTGAAAGCTCTGTAAGTGGTGCTAGTGTATGATTGGTAAGAACCTTGGTTCAGTCTGTTCAGAAAAGTACTTGAGCTGGGCAGGCACGCCTTTAATCCCAGCACTTGGGAGGCAGAGGCAAATGGTTCTCTGTGAGTTCAAGGTCAGCCTGGTCTGCAGAATGAGTTCCTGGACAGGTTCCAAAACTACAGAGAAACCCTGTGTGGGGAGGGGGGCATTTGACACAAGTTAAGAGAAAGCAGACGTTAGAGATGAACCTCTGCTCTCCTAGAGTCAGTGCTAGGAGAGACTGTTTACTGGTTTCTGGTTTATTTTGTGAACGACATTTTGGGGGCATTAGCATTAGGAGGTGAGGCTAAGTGCTATTAAATCGTACCTCAGAACTGTATTTATGTGACACTGCCTAGGTATTTCTCTGTCCTCATTCTCTCTTTCAATATTCAATGACTTAAGTTTATTTTTCATTCATGCAAAGTCTAAATATGGAAACTATGTGCCAGACTGATTATAGCACTTTTTTTTTAAAGTTTATTATTTATTATGTATACAGTGTTCTGCCTACATGCCAGAAGAGGGCACTAGATCTCAATACAGATGGTTGTGAGCCACCATGTGGTTGCTGGGAGTTGAACTCATGACCTCTGGAAGAACAGCCAGTGCTCTTAATCTTTGAGCCATCTTTCCAGCCTCTGTCCTTGTTCTCTTACTAAATGCCTTAAGTCAAAGACATGTTTTATTTCATTCTGGTGTTTGAGTGCCTACAATAGGTATTCATCAGATAATACTGGAGCAAATGAAAGAAACATTGGAGATCCAGAAATTTTCTGAAGTATTCAGAGAATTGGAGTTGTCCTTCAGAAACTGAACTTTTATTCATGTCTGACTGCCTGCATTTAGCATCACCCATTTAGATCCTTCTTAGCCTGTCTGAGACCCTCTCAATTGTTTTGGGGAAGGACTGGTGAGTTGGGGCAGAATCCTAAAGGCCTATCTCATCTGACTTTACCCTTTTTTGTTTGTAGCCCAGTGCCTGTGAGCAGGTGTCGTGGTTTCCAGAATGTACCACCGAAATTCCTGACTCTCGGGAAATGAGTGACTGGATGGTTGTGGGAAAGGTAGGATTTCATGGGAGTATACCCAGCCTTTTCTTTCCTTTGAATCTGGTGTGTACTTATTGCAGTTTTAGAAAAATGTGGAAGCCATGTCACAGGAGATGTAGAATAAAACTTGAATCATAGAAAAAGCAGTCATTTCTACCCTCTTTGGGGCTGGCTGCCTTTGGAGTAGCCTGTTATGTGTCAGTGAATTGTCTGGCCAGTGCTGGGCTCCGTTCAGGTAGGTGAAAGGACACCATAGCTGTCTTCAGAGTGATAAGGGCATTGTCAGCACAGTCGTTTGTTTACTCTTATTCTGGGACACTGAAAATGAGGGGATTGATTACCACTCCAGTGTGTTCTCTAGAAGTAGGGTGTCTTCAGGAGCTCCACAAAGTCAAAGCTGCCTTCATGACACCGAGGTCTTACTCTTTTTCACCCTGATTTTCCCCATATGTCTGTGGGTTTTTCTGAATCCAGTATCTGCACTGAGCAGCTGACTTCAATGCCACAGCGAGGCAGGGACCACACCCCCTTGTTACTAAGCCATACACTAGAGAAATTTCCAGAAGTGGAAACTACAGTACTTACTAAACTTTGCTATGAAAATAAGGCTGTTTTAAATAAAACAATTTAGCATGTTATTCTTTTGAAGTAAGTAAAGAAATATTTAAGAATCTCAGTTTTGACTTTTTTTAATAAACTCAAACAATAACTGTTGGGGGTTTTGTTGTTTTTTTGTTTTTTTTTTTTTTTTTGAGTGTTAGGGATTGAGTTAAAACATGCTAGACAAGCATTCTTTCCTGGATAAATACCCACAGCTCCCTTAGTGACTTTGAGAAGTATAAAATTTGACACTAGGCAGCGAGATGGCTCAGTGAGTAGAGGCGTCTGTATGCAGACGACTGCCTGCAGAGAACCAGTCCCTGAGATTGTCTTCAGAACGCTACATGCATGCCATAGCATAGATGGGCCTGTATATACATGACACACACATACACACCGTGAGAAAAGCTGTTTTTGAGGTGGCAACACTTGGCTGGGCTGGACATGACATTCTGCAAGGGCTGTGTAAAGTTACCAAGTCAATGTCCAGTATCAGGCATTCCTGCCCATCTCAGAGTGGAGGCTTCCTGGATGAAGGACAGGTTTGTCAGATGGGGGAGCCCTGTCCTTCTGCTCTGGGGGCAGACAGCTTGTGTGTCTCCTTCCTGTGTGCTCTTTCCAGCCTCAGCATTTGTGCGTGCTGTGACCATATGGTTTTCTACCCAGAGCTCCCAGCACACTGCTTTATCTCAGAGCCATCTGGAACACTGCCAGAGGGATTTGGAATTGTCTCTCTGTGCTCCTCAGGGATTGATGTTTCTTGGCAGAGACTTAAGCCCCTGCTTGCTCTGAGCACTCAGAACCCTAATCTCCCCACTCTCCCAGTAAATAGTCACACTTGGTCAATGTTTATGACTTTCTTCTCCCTGTAGAGAAAGATGGTTATTGAAGACGAAACAGAGTTCTGTGGGGAAGAGCTGCTTCACAGTGTGCTGAAATGTAAGGTAAGGCTGGGTTGGGACAGGTGAGGCCCGTGGGTAAGGTGAATGGGGCTTTGCTAGTTGTTGTTGGTGGGAGTGTGCCATTTAGGCTTTTCCTAGAGATGGGAAGTATATGTGATGCATATGTTCAAGATGGTATTTTTCTGTTGTGTTGTCTATGTGGTCACTGAGGCACTCACTTAACCTGTGAGTGAGTGTGTCAGATCCTGCTAATACCCAATGGGCCTAGTGAAGTTTACAGTCACCTTTTAGCATCAAACAAATCAGTATTTGAACCTCATTTCTACAATGTTCTTCTGTGTGACCATGGGCTAGTAGCTTGGGTGCCTCTGAGTTTGTCTTCTGTAAAGTTGTAGAAGATACTTCTCTGGGTGGTTGTGAGTGTTAATGAAGTTAGAGTGTCGCAACACATGGGCGGGCACATGTTAGCTTCCCCTTACACCTTCTGGCCTGATTGTAGGCCAGGAAGCACACACCTGGGTTCTCTGAGGAGGATGTCGGCTTGAAAAGAATGATGGCTACCTCACAAAGCTCTTAGTTTTGACAGACAGGGTTGGGAATATATCCATAAGGTGACTGAGTCTCAGGTGTAATGAGGGGAGTTAGAAGGAAGGCAGGATTCTCCCCATCCCACCCCATACCATGTGTGTGTGTGGTGGGGATAGATATCCTTAGGAGACCCTGGTCTTGATTTATTTTTGAGCTTTTTTTTTTTTTTTTTTTGAGACAGGGTTTCTCTGTGTATCCCTGGCTGTCCTGGAACTAGCTCTGTAGACTTTGAATTCTGAGATCTGCCTGCCTCTGCCTCCCAAGTGCTGGGATTAAAGGTGTGTGTCATGACTGCCCAGCTTGTTTTTAAATTTGGTGTCCCAATCAAGGGATCCTGAGTACCAGAACTTAAATCTCTGGAAGGTCATGGTGATACGGGGAAACATTTGCTATGAGAAACATTTTTTACTTTCTGTGTAGTAGAAGTGCTTTTAACCCCTTAACCACAGCTAGGCACCTGATTCATTGGGGGTTTTACCACTTTACTGGCAAGGTAGTTGAGGGTCAGAGTGATTGAGCAACTTGTCAGGTTTATACAACTGGATAGTTCAGAGCTGAGATGCAGCAGGAACCCAGTTCCTCAGAGGACAGTGAGTCTTCAGACCTTGGTCCTGCCCAAGAGGACCTGATGTGATGTTTGCTGTAGAGTCTCCTTCTCTTTTGGCAGAGTGTGTTTGACATCCTGGATGGGGAGGAAATGAGGCGAGCTCGTACCAGAGCCAATCCCTATGAGATGATCCGCGGAGTCTTCTTCCTTAACAGGTGTGCTGGACACCCTTCCTTCCTCTTGTACCTCTCCACCTTTCATCTGAACCTCAGCTTTCTGTATTCCTGGGACTGACCCATGCTTTTTCATCTTGCTTTGTTACAGGGCAGCGATGAAGATGGCTAACATGGATTTTGTGTTTGATCGTATGTTCACAAATCCCCTGGACTCTCAAGGGGTGAGATTTGTGTGCTGAGTGGACTTAAGCTTCAGTAGCTCACAGATTGCCGTTTGTTGAGTGCGAGTGTGTTTTGCTCTGTATTCCCCAGATGGAGTCCTTCAGTGCTCCCTGGTCCCAGGACTGCCCAGTCTGCAGGCTCTAAAGATCTGTGATTTCAGCAGGGTTATTTTCTCTTTCTGTGTGGGATCATAATTATGAGACTGGCCTTTCTCTAGAAACGGTAGAGCAAAATGATTTTCTGCTCTGCTACATCTCATTTCTCTGAACATTGGCCCTCCATAATGATAGAGAAAGCATAAAAGGAAATTTCATTCTAGCATTCCCTTTGGGATCGAAGCATTTTTACCCACTCCTAGAAGGTTGGTTTTCTTCACAGTGACAGGGCCAGGAGCCAGCTGTCCTCAGACCTGTTCCTACTTCACACACCCTCATTCTACTAGACCCCCACCCCATTACCCACTGGCTAGAGGAACTTATTTCTAAGGTCTTTGATGTTTCAGTTCCACCTGCCTAACTACTTGTTCCATGCTGGTAAAGCTGACATGTAGACTCTCCAGCCTTCACTCATCTCCTCTCCTCGGGCCCATCCCCATGTTCAAGGGCCAGCCAGCAGCAGAAAAGGCTCTTGGAATTAGCATCTTGAGAAAATTAGGTTGATACAATGTTGATTTAATTTTCTGAGCTCCCAGTGATTTCCTCTAAAGGCAGTTTCTAGCAGAGGAGCTCTGTTAAACTGAGGGGAAGTCATAGCATCATCTGGGCTGTTGAATTTGTCTGCCCTCAGCAGCTGCTATCTGCTTATTGTCTTTTGCTGTCATGAGAATGAAGTAGGCACCAGAATTGTACCATTCAGATCAAGGGTGGATGTTTGTTAAACCGTAGGGAAATGCAGTGTGTTTGGAAAGCTTCAGGGAGCTTCTTGACCTGAATTGTTAGTGGCCAGAAAGAATGGCCCTGTCAGAGATATGTCTTTGCACTCTACGATAAAAAGTAGTTTCTCTTTAGCCCTAGTATGTACTTCTTTTTATCTCCATTTTCCCTGAGGACCTGAGTGAAAGCCAAGCCTAGCAGGCCTGGTGTGTTTTCAGGGACCAGCTGTCTCCAGAGGTGGGAGTGGCTAGAAGCGTAGGCATGCTGCAGTCTTAGAGATGTTTGGGTTAGGCCTGTGCCTCAGAAAAATGGAAGCTTGGAGTGGTGTGGAGAAGGAGAGAAGAGGTATTCTGAGGTTTCATAATTGGTCTTTGGTGCTATAGATTATGGGAGAAGGAAAAAAGGGACTAGGGGAAGAAAAAGAAATTGGGAGCTTTATTTAGATCCTTGAGGTATTACATCTTATGAGGGGGTTTTGTGCTTGAGGATGCTATTTATTAGGTAAGAAAAGCTTGTCTGTAAAGTGTGATAGAAGAAAAAGTCAATGTGGATATTTACCTTTTGTCCTTGATAATGGAAATGAGGCAGCATCAACAGTGCCCAGTTTGTGTGCAGTACTGCACTTGAGAGAAAAATATCAAAAAACCAAGAGTTCTGACTCCAAGAAAGTTGGTCTAGTTGAATATAATGCCATCTTGTATTTGTGATGACTATAGTTTTAGAAAGACCTTGGCCACAAGTTGCATTTTTTAATTCTACAGCAGCCTTAAGAAATACCTACCCCAGCACTCGGGAGGCAGAGGCAGGCGGATCTCTGTGAGTTCGAGACCAGCCTGGTCTACAAGAGCTAGTTCCAGGACAGGCTCCAAAACCACAGAGAAACCCTGTCTCGAAAAACCACAAAAAAAAAAAAAAAAAAAAAAAAAAAAGAAATACCTACATTCATCCCAATTATAGTTGAGCAATTGAGCTTAATAGCTTCAGATGTGTGCTTGTCCTTGACTGCAGTGAGGAAATGGCAGAGCTAAGAACCAGCTGTTCTTCTAGGAGCAGAATTCTGAACAGGGCTTATAAAGGTCCCTTGTTCTTATTTTGGGACAAGATCTTGTTACGTAACCCGGACTAGCCTTGAACTCACTCCTGTATCAGCCTCCCAAGTGCTGGATGGTATATGAGCACTACTGTGCCCCAGCAAGCCACTGGTTTTGAAATTGCAAGATGAGATCATAGGTAGGCACCTTATGGAGGCCAGATACTCTTGAGTCTTTGAGTTTCCTGCTTCCCTTTGGCTAGAGGGGCTAGAGCTTCAGGCTACGGCCTCAGTGCTGAGAAACATTGTTTTCTTTTTGTGCAGTGTTTACAGTACTTAAACTTAAGACTGCCACATACCCACTGTGTTGGCTGTATTATATTGGTAACTTTTATCTAACTCTAAACTTATTCCAAAGTAAAGATAATTGAAGGACAAAATGGGAGAAGCACCCAGGGAGAGAAGATCATGTAGGAGGGCAGTGTTTTTCCTCAGGAGAACAGTCTAATAATGATCAGGCTTCTGGACTCTGACCTAGCTTTGTTCCAACTGGTGTGGGCAGGTTGCTTTGTGTCTTTGTGTTTCTGTTGGCAATGTTCTGCTTACTAGGACACAAGAAAGGCAGAGTGTGGTGAGGAAACAACCTGGGACATGAAAATGCCTCTATGATAGATGATAGACAGAGATGCTTTCATTGGGAGTCTGAGTTGGCCTGGTTAGGAGAAAAGTGTTCAGGATATTTTGGGTGAGGGGGCTCCAGAGGATACTGGTGACTAAGGAAAAAAAAATACTGGGTGTGGAGGGCCTGGTGGGAGCTCTGGATCATACTTGCCAATAGGCTGGGTTTTTTGCCTCCTCTTCCCTGAGTTCTCCTTTCTTTTCCTTACTGAGCCATCTGTTATCCCTGTGTCCTTGTCTTCCACTTCTCTTTCAGAAGCCACTGGTGAAGGACCGGGACATTGACCTTCTGTACTTTGCGGATGTCTGCGCAGGCCCAGGTGGCTTCTCAGAGTACGTGCTGTGGAGGAAGAAGTGGCATGCAAAAGGCTTTGGGATGACTCTGAAGGGCCCTAATGACTTCAAACTAGAGGACTTCTACTCAGCCTCCAGTGAGCTCTTCGAGCCGTACTATGGTAGGGACATTGACCAGGGCAGAGACTAGGAGAGTGGCTGCTGTGTGGGGACTTGAGGCCAAAGCTGTTGCTACCTGTGTTCTTCCTAGTTTATTAGCTGGGGTTCACTGTTGCTGGCATGAGGGTCTTGGAGCCCTTTGAAGTATCTTTTTTAAAAAAACAAACAAAACACAGGCCTGTATTAATTCCTCCTTGCAGGATTGTGGTTTTTGTGTGGTGTTGGGGGATAATGAAAGTGCCTAATTCCTAGATGAAAAGTAGCAAGGTTATTAACAAACACACATCAGCCCCTCTGGGTTGTGTGAACTACATTTGCTAGCAGACAGCTCGGTAGCTGCAGCAGTCTCCCTGCCCTGACAAGTAGACTAGGATCTGTCAGCAGATCTAAACTCTTTACTGACAGTCCTTACTGGAGGTTGATGTTGAGTGTTTTTGTCTTGATTTTGTTTTCTGTTTTTGTTTGTGTTGTTCTTGTTTGTTTGTTTTGGAGACAGGGTCTTCCTATATAGCCCTGGCTGGCCTGGAACTAACTATGTAGATCAGGCTAGCGTTAACTCACAGAGATCTGCATGCTTCAGCTTCCCAAGTGCTAGGATTAAAGGTGTAGACTACCATGCTCAGCTTGAATTTTTTGATGTTTAGAGAAAGGGTCTTACTTTGTGTTCCAGGCCAACCTAAAACTTCCTGTGTATCCCAGATTAGCTTTAAATTCATGGGTTGTCCTGCTTCAGCCTCCTGAATACCTGTAGGCATGAGCCTTTATGCCTGGCAAATACTGTTTTTTAGCATAAATGCTTTAAAAAGGAAGATCCTCTGCTTCAATTGATGTCTCTTGGCTGGTCAGTTCCCTTTGAACCCTGGCTTTGAGAGCAGGGCTTCAATTCTTGCCAGTCTGTGTCCATAGGTGGGATGGGTCCTGGGTCTTGGAGCTTACTTGGTATCTGTGCTCACTCTCTCTGAGGGCTCCTGGCTCAGCTCCCAGCAGTAGGCAGACTCACCAGGGTTCCTGTGTCTTGTTAGGTGAGGGTGGGGTTCTCCGGAGCTCCAGACAGCAGGCAAACTGACAGGGTTCTTGTGTCCCATCAGGTGAGGGCGGGGTCGATGGGGATGGAGATATTACCCGTCCGGAAAACATCAATGCATTTCGGAATTTTGTCCTGGACAACACAGATCGCAAGGGTGTCCACTTTCTCATGGCAGATGGGGTAGGTGACTGTCCCTGTAAAGATGCTTTAAGGCTGTGTTGTGAATTTAGAGGGTTGTTTCTTGTTTGTTGTTCAGGGGTCCTGGTCTTGGGCATACTAAATAAGTGTGCTGCATCTGAGCCCCACCCCCCCCTTGAGAAATACTTTGGTTTTGTTCTTTAGCTGCCACCATAAATGGTAACTCACTGTTCATATAGTAGAGATGCACATTTTTACTTACTTTATACATTTCCCTACAATTTTTGTAAAGACTATACTATCATAGACACATTTGCTTGAGCTTACTTTGCTGACAAAAAGGCCTTAGTTGCTAAGGAGCCGATGAGGCATGGACTCCAGTTGAAATCAACTAGGCAAAAACTGAATGGGGAGGCACACTGCCATTACTTGTCATCGTGGTAGTTGTTGAGGTCGTCTACAGGTGGTCTCCACTAGCCTCTCATACACTGACAGATAGGTACTTAAACAGTAGCAACAGCAGCACAGACTCCTTGGAGGCCCTTGACTGGCTGAAGTGAATTTTCAAGGGCCCACCTAAGCAGCCAGAGAACCAACCGACCACCACACTGTTCAGCAGAGGCTCTCACCCAGTATGTCACGGGTGACTCCTGATGGGAGCCACCAACTACAGGATCACATAGCTGGGGTTCAGAAGAGCCTTGTGAGCTGTGTGTGGAAGGAAGGGAGAATGTCAGAGGGGCCTGAGGATGCCCTGGCTCCCTGAAGCCCTGTACACAGTAAGACAGCAGATGAACAGGGTTGAGGCTGGCTGAGAGGAAGGGGCTGCTGCTATTGAGCAGATGTGTAGTCTGCCAGTTCTGCCTTTTCTTCCTTTAATGTAGTGGACAGCAAGCAGAGCTGTAAAGCTCACAGATTTTCTGCTTTGGTAGCAGGAGGGCTGGCCTGGCCTTTTGATTTATTTCTATTGCTTACTAATTTTAAATGTTTGTTGTATATGGTAATGTGTTACACAGAGATTTTTTTCATACAAGTATATATATTATACATTGAACATTCCTACCCCCATCTCTTTATCTTTTTCGCTTCTGTTATTTTTCAGTTTTCTTTTTTTAGTCAGTATCTCAAATAGCTCAGGCTGGCCTCAGACTTATAAGATGAAGCTGGCCTTGACTTCTCATCCTCTAGCCTCTACCTCCCAAGTGCTGGAATTATAGGCATGTGCCACCATCCCTGACTTTGTTACAGAGCTAATTAAGAATTCAAAAAGAAATAAGCATTTTGAGAATCATCTTTAAGTCTGGGAGACAATGGCAAACATTACTTACTTTTATAGGCCTGCATCAGTGAGATCTGGCCTATGGGGGCAGCTTACTAGAAGCTAGTGCTCTCGCTGGCTCTCCTGTGTAAAATTATAGCATGCAACACAGTTTGTCCTGAGTATACGGTTTAGAAGTGTTTGTCTCGTCACTCTCTGCTGTGCAGCTGGTTTCCAGAACTTTTTCATTTTGTAAAACTGAAACTACCCATTAGAGCACAGTCCTTCTCCCCCCTCCCCCTGCCCCATTGCCTGCCTCTTTTATGTGAGTGTAAGCATGGTTTGTGACTGGCACCTCCTTGCTGATAGGAGATGCTCTAGGAATCACAGCATTCTTTGAGCAAACCTTGGCCTGTGAGTGTGCCAGCTAGAGGGAACGGGCTCCACAGCTAAGGACAGAGTAGTGGGTGTTGTAAGTAAATCCTTACTCTGTAATTCTTTTTGTCAGACGGGGGCCTTCGGAGGTCAGTGTAGTGGCACAGCCCCATCAGATTATTCTCCTGACATTTACTTCCTGTCTTCTTAGGACTTAAATATGTGTTTTCTATGTCGCAGTTGACCAGTGATAAGTCAGTACTTTGCGTCTCTTCTGCCTTATTTATCTCTGGGTTCCCATGTGAATTCAAGGTTTTTTGGACCATTCCTTTGGAAAAGCAGACTTGGTCCTGTGGTTTAGGAGTGATAAAGTGGGAAGGTAGCTCAAGTTCAGCAGTTAGGCCAGGGTCCTTTGTCTGTAATTGACCACATTACTTAGATAAAGAAATTGAAATGCTGATCAGTCAGATTGTGGCTCCTGATGAGATGAGGTTAGGATGTGATTCTCAGTCCTTCCCATTTCTCTCTCCATCCATCCAGGGTTTCTCTGTGGAGGGGCAGGAGAACCTGCAGGAGATCCTCAGCAAGCAGCTGCTGCTGTGTCAGTTCCTCATGGCGCTGTCTGTTGTCCGGACAGGTGACACCTCCTCAGTTCTCCCTCACTAAGGACTTACTGGGGCCCTTTTGACAAGAGCATGTATGGGGGTTGGTTAAGAAATTTTTAAAAAATGGACAAAGAAAAAGTAAAGAGAAAGAAACCCTTGGGGGCTGGAGAGATGGCTCAGAGGTTAAGAGCACTGGCTGCTCTTCCAGAGGTCCTGAGTTCGATTCCCAGCAACCACATGGTGGCTTACAACCATCTATAATGAGATCTGGCGCCCGGGCGTACATCGAGGCAGAATGTTGTATACATAATAAATAAGTAAATCTTTAAAAAAAAAAAACAAAAAGGAAAGAAACCCTTGTATTGGGTGGCGGGTGGCTGGTGGCGGGGTGAAGGATACAGGGAAGAAAAGGCAAGAGTCTCCAAAGTGCTCCCTGCAGCTGATTATCTCATAAATTGCCTTGGATTTGTAATGGACCAGTCCCAGTCATCTTTACTGGCTAAGGTGACCTCCCTCACATCCTGGAGTAGCCACTGATTGCCTGGGCATTTTCTTCTCACTCCAGGGGGGCACTTCATCTGCAAAACCTTTGACCTCTTCACACCCTTCAGTGTGGGGCTCATCTACCTGCTATACTGCTGCTTTGAACGTGTGTGTCTCTTCAAGCCCATCACCAGCCGGCCTGCCAACTCAGAGCGGTAAGGTCTTCCTCTCTGTTAGCCAGCTAGTTGGTCAGAAGTCAGCAGTAAACCCTGTGCTTCTGTCTAGCATTGACTCTCAAACTGTTAGAAACCTTGACTTTGGAGATGTGATTCTCCAATCAGAGCTAGGGTCCTTGGTTTGAGTGATCATCTCAAGGTTGCTCAGACTGCCACTTCTACAGCTATGTTTATAATACTTGTGTCTGGAATTCTCAGCTTAGCCCAGGAAGAGTGTGACCACTAATAGAGATATTCAGAAGGGATATAAGCTAGGAACAGGCAAGGGGGCAGCTATACAGAGGCACCACAGGCTTCCAAGTGCCCATATGTAAGGTAAGCGAAAACAAGCCATTCAGAATTGTCAGGTAGTTGTTATAGTGTAGTAATAAGAGCGGCAGGGCTGCATCCCCAGCACCCCGGCCGCCTGGCTAGCTTATGCCCCGAAATAATTACACGGACACTGTACTCTTTTAATCACTGCTTGGCCCGTTTCTATCTAGCCTCTTCTCAGCTAACTCTCGCACCTGGACTAGCCCATTTCTGATCATCTGTGTAGTCCATGAGGTGGCTTACCAAGGAGGTTCTAGCCTACGTCCATCCTGGGTCGGAACTTCATTGCCTGTGCCTGGGAGAGTGGAGCATGGCATCTCTCTGAGGCGTCTGCTCCCGAGAGGAGAGCTGTCGAGTCTGAGCTCACTTCCTCTTCCTCCCAGCATTCTGTTCTGTTTACTCCTCCCACCTATGTTTTAACCTATGAGGGCCAGCCAAGCAGTTTCTTTATTTTTTTTAACCAATGACCTTCCTCCATCATTATAGTACAGATTTTTTTTTCTTTTGAGACAGGGTTTCTCTGTAGCTTTGGAGCCTGTCCTAGAACTAGCTCTTATAGACCAGGCTGACCTCAAACTCACAGAGATCCTCCTGCCTCTGTCTTCTGAGTGCTGGGATTAAAGGCCAACAGTACAGATTTCTGTGGAGAGTTTGATTCCTTACATCTGTAATTAAAAGCCTTCCCAAGTTACATCTTTTGGTGCAGGGCAGTTGGGAACACCCCCATAGAGATAGAAACAGTCTCATGTATAAGAGAAGTATTTTATATATTTTATTTCAACACACAGTTTTATAGTATAGCACTTGGCTAGCCCAGAAATTACTACTTAGACCAGGCTGGCCTTGAACTCAAGATCTGACTGCCTATGCCTCCCAAGTAGGACTAAAGGTGAATGTCACCAATTTCTATTAGGACTTGAGGTGCATTTGTGCATTTTTAAAAGCATGGTATGTGTTGCCCGTTGAGCTCAGGCTTAAGGCTGAACAAAAGCTGTTTAGCTTTGTGACTCTACTGGGTTGGTGTGGAGGAATGTGCGGGAGAAGGCTCTGAGCTCTTTGGAGTGACAGGATGTCTCCTACAGGTATGTGGTGTGCAAAGGTCTGAAGGTGGGCATAGACGATGTGCGGGAGTACCTCTTCTCTGTGAATATTAAACTCAACCAGCTGCGAAACACTGAGTCTGATGTCAACCTGGTAGTTCCCTTGATGGTGATCAAAGGAGACCATGAATTCAATGACTACATGATACGGTCTAATGAGAGGTAAGCCTGCTGGCCGTGTCTGCTGGAACTGTTGGGGCAGTAAGGAAGCCTAGAAGTCATGTTTGTTTGCTCTGCTGATTCCAGGACATTCTAAGACTTTGGGCTACTTTTTGGTTACTGTTACTCAGGACATTAGCATATGCAGTCCCAAGGCTGGCAGGTGAGTCCCTGGCTCTGAAGGTGAGAAGAAAGCCTATGGTCTGTAGACAGGTCACTATAGTCTCAGTCACTATAGTCTGGAAAAGTTTGTGCTTGCTGTCTTGTGAAGACCCTTGACTGGAGGCAGAGATGAATGGGACACAAGTGAAGAGCATGTCTGGTAAGAGCCCAAACTTTGTCAGTTCAGGGTCTTTAGGTGGGAGACAGAAAGCTATTTCCTCCTTTTTAATTGCCTCCCCTCAAGCTGGAGTTAGAAGCAGTTGTGAGCTACTCCACATGGGTACTGGGAATTGAACCTCAGTCCTCTGTAAGAGCACTTTGCTTCTCTCCCCAACCCCACTCCCCCCCCCCCCCCACACACACACACTAAAGACAGGGTTCCTCTGTGTAGCCCTGGCCTCTCTGTCCTAGAATTTACTCTGTAGACCAGGCTGGCCTCTAACTCAGAGATTGACCTGCCTCTGCCTCCCCAGTGCTATGATGTGCTCCACTACACCCAGCCACTGCACTGCACATTCTTGATTGCTGAGCCATCTTAGAGCTCTGCTTACCTCTCCTTTTCAGATTTTTTTTTTAAATTGAGCTCTAAATTTTTTCTCTGCTCCCTTCCCTGCCTCTCCCCTCCCTCTCCAACCCTCCCCGGAGGTCCCCATGCTCCCAATTTACTCAAGAGATCTTGTCTTTTTCTACTTTCCATGTAGATTAGATCTATGTAATTCTCTTAGTGTTCTCATTGTTGTCTAAATTCTCTGGGATTGTGATTTGTAGGCAGGTTTTCTTTGCTTTATGTTTAAAAACCACCTATGAGTGAGTACATGTGATAATTGTCTGTGTTCAGACATTTTTTAAACATTAGTTTAATATTGAATTAAAGAGCTATCTGTGTATTTTGGACATAAATCCCTTACTAGGCTTGGATATGAAATACTGTCTCCTGCCCTGTGTTTTTTTCACTGTATTAATGTCCTTTACACAAAAGTTTTTAACATTAGTATGACGTGGTTGTTGAGGACTGGCCTCAGCAAAAATACTTCTTACCAGGGTAGGGGCATGGAAATTTTAGAAATATAAGTAAAGAATATGAAGACACATAAAAAATAAAAGGATAACATAAACCACAGAAAGTGTTGGGAGGGCATTCCAGTGACTGAAATCCCCCTCCACACACACACACTTATTTTTTCCACAGCTTTTATACCCAACATAAATGGGGGGGGGGAGGAGAGAAGGTAACAAAAAAATGATACAAAGGAAGCTCACATAGTCAATTTTTTTATCACTCTGAGACATCAAATCATTAGCATTTTGTTGTCTAGGTAGCTAAAGTGCTCTAGATCAGGTATGCTGAAGACCACCCTTCCCCAGGTGGCCTCATAGTTACAAAAGAAGGAGCAAAAGCACATTTACATGTCCTGACCACTTGTCAGGATGACATGGCATATCTTAATTTCAAGAGAACCAAGCATCACATCCTGAGTTAGGATGTGCAAGGTGGAACTGGACCTGCAGTCCTTGGCCTCCACACTGACTTCCTCATTTCTTCTGTTATTACACTCTGTTGTGGGGCTTCTCCCTGTTCGTTTGTAAGATCTGCAAGTTTAGCCTCTGTGTTGAGGCATTTTATTTTAAATTATTTTTGGATATGGCATTAACAGTCTCACTTCATTTTTTCCAGATTTTCCAGACTGTCCTTTCTCTATGAAATGGTCTGGGCACACTTTCCAAAATCTTCTATTTCATTAGCAATGCTAATAAGTAGTAGTAAATGAGCATTTACTTCTAGGCTTTCTTGTGTTGTTCTAGTGACATGTCATCTGTGAAGTGAGGTAATTTTACTTCCTTTTCATGTTTGACATCTCAAATTTTAAAATACTGAAAATGAAATCCATTTAGGCCTTTTCTTTCTTTTTCTGGTGAATGATTTGTTTTCTTTCCAGAAAGTCTTAGTTTGCATGTTCTGTGTAGCTTTGGCTGGTTGGAACTTGCTATCCTCCTGCCTCAGTGATCCTCTGAGTATTAGGATCAGTGTTCTTGTGTTTCCTGACACACTTTTGCATCCTTCCTGGAGAGCCTTACAGGTTCCTGTCTGCAGTCATTCCTCTTCAGTCATTTTGTATACCTGAGACAATCCCTTCAGTTTTTGTCTATTTAAAAATGCATTTCTGGCATGGAGAGATGGCTGACTCTTCCAAAGGTTCTGAGTTCAATTCCCAGCAACCACATGGTGGCTCACAACCATCTTAACGAGATCTGATGCCCTCTTGTGATTGATGTTGCCTGCAGAGGCCAGAGGCATTGGATCTCCTGAGGCTGAAGTTCCAGGTGGTTGTGAGCCATTTGATGTGGGTGCTTCTAACCACTGGGCCACCTCCAGCTCCCTCTATTAGCTTTGTCATTATTATCATGTGCCTTTTCCTCTGGTGGTTTTCAAGAGGCCAGAGGCTGATGTCAGGTGTCTTCCTCAGTTGCGCTCTACCTTACATATTGAGGTAGGGTCTCTTACTTGAACCTAGAGCTCACCAACTCACCTAGTCTAGCCGGCCAGTTTGCGCCAAGGATCCTGTCTCTACTTCCCCATTGCTGGGATTACAGGTGAGCTGCCAGCACTTGCCCAGCGTTTATTCAGGTACTGGGGATCTGAACTCCGCTGAGTCATCTCTCCAGCCCCTTTGAAAGTTTTTGTTTGTTTCCTGTGGAAGTAAAGCCAGTGAGTGAGTGCTCTTAACCTTTGAGTCATCTCTCCAGCCCCAGTAGTTTTTTTTTGTTTGTTTTTTCGAGACAGGGTTTCTCTGTAGCTTTGAAGCCTATCCTGGAACTAGCTCTTGTAGACCAGGTTGGCCTCAAACTCACAGAGATTCACCTGCCTCTGCCTTCTGTGTGCTGGGATTAAAGGCGTGCGCCGCCACCACCCGGCTAGTTTTTTTTATTAAGTGCCAGACACTATGTGTACAAGGCTAAGGGACAGACAGTTGTTAGGGTAGCATGTTTGTCAGTGCTGTCTGCAGTTGAACTGGGTATGAGCTCTGCTGTTGCTTAGAGTCAGTTCACCACTGTGTTTGAATTCTTTACGGCTGGGATGAAAACCTTTCAGAGCGCTTGTGATGAGGGCTCAGCTCTGCTCTGCTGTCTTTGGGCCCCATGTAACTCACCAGTACCTTCCTCACATACAGATGGCTGCTGCTCTGACCACACTTCTATGCTGATCCTGTGTATCTGTTTTCTCTTAGCCACTGCAGCCTGCAGATCAAAGCTCTGGCCAAAATCCATGCCTTTGTACAAGACACGTGAGTGCCACCCATCTCTCACCAGCCTCAGAGTGGCCCTTGCTTTGTTTTTCCCACCAACCCTATCTCTTTAGCAGTGTTAAAGCTACTCTTCGGGTTCATTTTGTCTTGTGGGATATCAGCATAGTGATGTCTTTGAGAGCAGACGAGAAATCACAGTGGTTGGTGGTGGAAGGAAGGGGTGTATAGGGATGACAGCACCCAGGTGGTGGGAGGGGAAGTGATTTCAGTCCATAAATTCTGAGCTGTCTTTGGACAGCCAGCCCGTATGTGCACACAGATGTTCACTGCTGCAGTGTACCTCTAAGCAGCTGAGAAGGTCATAGAGGGCTCCTTAGAGTCTTAATCTTGTTCTGGTTTTGTTTCCCTAGCACGCTGAGTGAGCCTAGGCAGGCAGAGATCCGGAAAGAATGCCTCCGACTGTGGGAGGTAAGCAGCCCATTGTCACCCCAGGCCAGGAAGCTGTAGATGAGAACAGGATTGTCACCTTAACCCCCCACCTGAAAGGGAGCCCAGCTCCTTGGCATGTTACAAGTTACCTTCTTGACCCTCTGACAGCTTGGCCTGCTGCTGGGTCAAAAGAACACAGAGGTTTGGGGCAGCCTGTATTTTGCCCTGATGGCCCCATCTATATCTAACAGGTGTAGAGAAAAGGACTTTGGGTTGTGTTGATACAGGGTCTAGATAGGGAATGAACTTTGTGCTTCCAGCTCCCTTGCCAGGCCTTTTTGCTTGTATGCCATTTACTCTTCCTCAGCCCGAACCCATCTCCTCATACAGCGTGTCAACAGGGTACTTAGAAACCAAAGCCAGGGCTAGAGATGGCTCAGAGATAAGAGCACTCGCTGCTCTCCCAGAGGACCCAAGTTAGATTTGCAATACCCACATGGTAGCTCACAACTGCCTTTAACTCCAGTTCCAGGAGATCTGATGCCATCTTTTGGTCTCTGCAGGCACACATGTGGTAGACAGACATACAGGCAACACACCCACACACATAAAACAATTTTATAAGCCCTTTGATCTGTCTCTTTTCAGATCCCAGACCGGGCTCGAGTTGCTCCTTCTTCTTCAGACCCAAAATTCAAGTTTTTTGAGCTAATCAAGGTAAATCTGGCTTCTGTGGCATCATATTAGGGGCCTTTTTCTAGGGGCAGAAGGTGTCACTCAGGCAGCCCTGGCTTTCAATTAAAGATTGAGAGGGTATCAACCTGGGAACTAAAGGAATGGACTAAGGTCTCCACTTAGAACCTTGTTATATTATATAGGGTTTCCCAAGAACACTTCTGGCCAGTACAGTCTTGTCTTTGTTTTTTTTTTTTTTTTTCTTTTTTTTCATTTTCAAGATAGGGTTTCTCTGTAGCTTTGGAGCTTGTCCTGGAACTAGTTCTTTTAGACCAGGTTGGCCTCAAACTCACAGAGATCCGCCTGCCTCTGCCTCCCAAGTGCTGGGATTAAAGGCGTGCGCCACCACCCAGCTGAGTCTTGTCTTAGATGGGCTTGGGCCAGCATTCTGCCACCCAAAGGGTATGCTGGCCAAAAGTTTCTGAAAATTCAGGATCATGGAAGAGATGGAATGATGGATGATCTTATGCAGGGGAACTGCAGAGGAGCCACAGTGCGTCTGGTCCAGCTTCTCCATCCTGTTTTTAGTGAGCTGGTCTTAAGAATTCTGCCATCGACTCCAGCTTTCCCCAGGGCATCACTTTAGTTGTGCTCATTGTGCTGGTTTCGTGAGGGTCACAGACTAAAGAATGAGGTTCAAGATGTTTACATTTTTCTGAATGGCATAGAGAGATCATTTCTCTGCTCTCAGGCCAACTGTTGGGGAATCCTTGCTTTCAGTGTCATTGAATGCATGGCTGCTCTATTCTGCTGATATTCCCCATAGCTCTGGTAAATCCATCCGTACTAGGGACTCAGTGTTTTTTCATTTTCTAGTTTCTCCTAGGAAAACTGTAGGCAGATGGAAATAGATCCTATTTAATAATTGGTTAGGTGGAGAGGAGGGTGCAGGGAAGCCTGCTCCTGAGAGCAGATGATTCCTGTCCCCTCACCTCTGTCAGCCTGCCCCAGCATAACAGTGTTTTCTCTGATCTGTGCCACAGGACACTGACATCAACATCTTCAGCTACAAGCCCACACTGCTCACTGCCAAAACCCTAGAGAAGATCCGTCCTGTGCTGGACTTTCGTTGTATGGTGTCTGGCAGCGAGCAGAAATTCCTCCTGGGCCTGGGGGTAAGTCAGCTTCTGGCCTCCCTTTGGCATGGGGTGGTGGCAGTGTCCTCTGTCTGGAGATGTGGACAGCTTCTGGCCACTCTTGTGTTGTTCATTCTGTTGGCATCACAGAGGTATTCTGTCGTTTTTCTTGAAATGCAGAGCCAGTAGCTTATCAGGCTGATCCTGGGTGGCCAACTGTCTCCAATCCTACCCCCTGCCATTTCCTGTCTGGAAGACACCCTTCTCCCTCCTCAAGGCCATTGGTAGCTAACAGAGGGAGGGCCTGTTAGCTTTACATCCTGCTTCCTCCCGTGCAAAGGACTCTTCTCCAGTCACCTCTTTTGCGTCCTTACTTTGTATTTTTCTCCTTTTGTTTCCTTCTCTTCCTGTAATACCAACTTCCACGTATACATCTCAAGGACCTTCACGTGTACATAACACTAGATGAAGGTCTTTTGTACAGTTTCCTACCAGCAAGATGGAGCCCATCTCTACTCTCCTGTGGAGGTTGAGGAGGAAGTGCCACAAACTCCTTCCCTCCTAGACATTTTCTACTGTCACTGGCCAGCCCTTGTCTGCTTGAGTGCCAAGTTAATGCTCTTTTGAGACTAGAACCTCCCATTTCTTAAGTCTTCGTGCCTACTCTTCTCCCTGCCTACAGAAGTCCCAGATCTACACGTGGGATGGACGCCAGTCAGACCGATGGGTGAAGCTGGACCTGAAGACAGAGCTGCCCCGGGATACACTGCTCTGTGTGGAAATTGTGCATGAGCTGAAAGGGGAGGTCAGAAGGGTTTTGTTTATAGATGGCCCTAAGGCAGGGGAGTTGGGGGACTGTGGAGCCTGGCCTTCCACCTCAGTGTGGTTTCATGGTGTGATGAAGTAATTTCCTCTAAAACAATTGCCATGTACTATGGGAGAGACTGGGAAGGGACAGACAGAAAGCCTTTATCCACAGTTCTGACATGCTGCCAGGTGTTGTTAGTAGCCAATTTAGTTCATAACTAGCAATCCCTTAGGAAGGAAGAGACCTGGCATTTCCTGTGAGCTCTGCATTATTTCAGCATAGGGATGACATTTAGAGCACTCCATGTGAACAGGCAACACAGTGGAAAGCCAGCTGACTAGAGTAAGCATGGCCACAGTGGGCCAGAGGCTGGTACCTGTACAGTGGAGAGCATGCTTGTCCCTTGTAGGGGAAGGCCCAACGGAAGATCAGTGCAATCCACATCCTCGATGTCCTCGTGCTGAATGGCAGCGACGTCAGAGAGCAGCACTTCAACCAGCGGTGCGCCTGGGCCCGGGGGGGGGGGGGGGGGGGGGGGGGGGGGGGGGGGGGACGGGGGACGGGACGGGACACACTTCCCATGTCCACCAAAGGCAGGAGGAAAGGTGGGTCTACATTACACTTTGCTGAGGTGTGGGCTTTGGTTGCCCAATTCCAGCACATTTTATCATGCTTCAGTTGCTCACATTGGTCATTTTTTGTGTGAAGACTGAATAAAGGTGGCTTTGTTTGAAGAGGGAGGGTTTCTTTTAAAAATCGTGGCCAGAACATGGGCAGTCTCAACTTGGTGCATTTGAGCTAGGGTGAAAGAGCAGACATGTACAATAATGGTTCTTGATGTCCTAGTGGAGATGACTGAACACAGCAAAAGACACACTTTAGGAAAAGCAGCTCACAGAGGTCAGAATCCACGGGACATGAATGCTGCCACTTGGAAGTTTTGTATAGGTCCAGGCTCCCACTGATGCTGTGAAAATGCCTTGGGGCACAGGTGCTGCTGAGGTTCCCTGGCTTTCTTCTAAGGATTCTGTTTGAATTGTAGAATTCAGCTTGCTGAGAAATTTGTGAAAGCGGTCTCCAAGCCCAGTCGGCCTGACATGAATCCTATCAGGTGAGCATGACCCCCTTCCTCCCAGACCCTCTCTGGTGGTGGCTTTGTTGCTTATTTTTCCTATCCTCAGTGGGATGGGAGGGTTGTAAAAGGGGCTGGGGCTAAACTGCCCTGTCAGTAGTTTGCCTGGTAGGCTGGGTTATGGTTTCCTAATTGAGATGCACATGTGCCCTTTCATGCTTGAGTATCCTTTACTGACTGCATGGCTCTGGGTAAGGAAATAAGGGAATGGGGATTTGATTATGAAAAGATGGTTAGGGGAGTGAAACCCAGTGCTTGTCAGCTGTGGGTAGGATAAAGTACCAGGCTCAGGGCAAGAGGAGGGAGGGGATAGATAGAAAGTAGACTACCTTCTCCAGGTCAGAGGCTATTACAGACAGCACTCAAGGGTTCATCTAAGTAAACTTAGAAATAACTCCAGCACTGAGGATGCAAGACAGCTTCAGTGTGAGTTCAGCTTGTGCTAATATGACGTCCTGCCTGCTAGTTAAAACAGGCACCTTATCCAGGTGCAGTTCCCAAGGCAGGCTTGGGGTCCCTCCTTACATGTAGAGGGCTGGGCCTCAAACTAGAGCCTACACCCTCAAAATAACAGAAGTACCAAGACTATTGAGAATAATTCAGCTATAGGAAGATCTAAAGTCTATGTAGACAGACCCAGGCAAAAGCCTGGCCTTGGGATTTCTGTCCTGTATTGTCAGTGAAGGTTACTCAAGGAGAAGGGTAGTGTTAGAAAAGTTTGCCTGACATACCTTCCTTTGCCCTCTCCTGTCTTCAGGACTCACTGCTGAATCCCAGCTGCTGGTACAAGCCCAAGGGGCTATGTGGCAGCTCGGAAGCCTAGGCAATCAGTAGGGTAGCAGTGCTGCAGGCCCGGCAACCTCATTTGTGGGCTGCTGGTCTCAGAGAACCTGAGGATAAGGGCAGGTCTAGGGCCTCTGTCCTGCTCTTCACAAACATCCCAGGAAACTGTTCTCACCTGCTCTACTCAACAGGGTGAAGGAGGTATACAGGCTGGAAGAGATGGAGAAGATTTTTGTCAGGTGAGTAACTCACCCAGTGTGGTTTAGATTGGTGGAGGTGGTGCCTAGCTGAGTGGAGGAGATTGATTCTATTTGCAGGGGTGACTTACAGAGCTGGGTCCTGGCACTGCCTCACTCCCAACTTTCCCTGCCTTGCTGCAGTTGAGTCCCAGCTGTGAGCTAGTTCAGCACCTGTCAGGGGGGGTACAGGGTGCTTTATGTCAGGCAGCAATACAGGCTCATTGATGCTGGAATAGGTTAGGACTGGCCTTTCAAGGGGCAGAGAAGCAAGCTTTTTCAAACACTAAACCCCAGCTCACAGTGCTGAGAGTGAGCAGAGGGCATATAGATGTATCTTACATACTTTCAGTCATCTGCTGAGCAAGGCACACTGTGAGCGAGCTCTGTGGTCATCTGAAGACCCACTAGCATCCCTGGTTTGTGATTCCCCTTGTTGTTGCCACTATGAGGCCTCGCAAAGAGCAGCACCCTGGACCCGCTGCCCGTTTGGGAGTGCAGAGCTGTGCCCTAAACTCAGAACTGCTGTGACTCTGGCCTGGGTGGCTTGGAGCAATATGCATAAGGATCTGTGCTTTGGTTTCTTCTGCCAAACCAGGATAGGATACTGGAACTGATGTCATTGTGAATTACCTAGAGACTAACGTTAGCATGCCCTACTCTGTTCACCATGCGTGTGCTTCCTGAATGTCCATCTATTTGGGGAAACCAGGTTAGAAATGAAGCTCATCAAGGGCTCCGGTGGCACGCCAAAGCTCAGCTACACGGGACGGGACGACCGGCACTTTGTACCCACAGGCCTCTACATTGTCAGGACCATGAATGGTAGGTTCCCCCCCTTCCTTAGCAAGGGTGACTGGCCCAGACTTCCTTGTTGAGGTGGACAGTTGGCAACTTCTGAGGTACCTCTTGGGAGGGGGACTGGGAAAGAAGAAATTATAGATGCCCACTTGGTGTTCTCAGCAGGTAAGCATGGCCTCTCCACAGGCCTTAGAGAATAACTTGTCACACTCCTGAGCCATTTGGGCTTGGCCATGGAGGCTGGAAGGGACAAACAAGAGAATGGAAAACATCTTTATTGGTCAGACTTGTCCCCAGGGGTACTGTTCTGAGTGCCTGCCCTCTTCTCCCTCAGAGCCATGGACCATGGCATTCAGTAAGAGCTTCAAGAGGAAGTTCTTCTACAACAAGAAAACCCAGAGGTCTACCTTTCACCTCCCTGCAGATTCCATTGCTCCATTTCAGTAAGTAGTCCTCACTGACCTGAAAACCCATCACTGCCATGCAGAAGCCGCCCCAGAGAGCTCGCTGGCTAGGTGGCTGGGGGACCTAGAAGAGGGTTTGAGGAACATGTTACAGGCTCCCAGCCTTGCCCCTTATGACTCAAGGTCCCAGGTGTTTCTCCTCAGGACATAAGCTTTGGCTGTGGCCTGTGGGGCCTAAAATTAGCTACCAACACTTTTTGTAGTCAGCTAACACTGGTCTTCTTAGTGAAGCAGGTGAGCTAGAACACCAGTAAAAAATCCAGTTGGATGCAGGGTATAGCAGTAGAAGTTAGTTCTTGGAGGCATGAAAGGTGCTGGGGGTCTCCTAGGTGGGTACCTTTTGGATGCCAGAGGGGGAACTCTAAACTTGAGTCAGTGCAGAGCCTCATTTAAAAGCATCCACCCTTGAAGTTACAGTTGCCAGGGGTGGGTTAGTCTGTTGGTCCTGTGCCACCAAGGCACAGCACTGACTACCCCCTCCCCTTCCCAGTACCTGCTACTACAGCCGGCTCTTCTGGGAGTGGGGAGATGGCTTCCATATGCGTGACTCCCAGAAGCCCCAGGATCCAGACAAGCTGTCCAAGGAGGACGTCCTTTCTTTTATCCAGAGTCACAATCCTGGAGGATCTTAGGATTGCTACCTGATGAATGTGCTGTCATTCCCAAGGCAATGCCCTGTGTCTGGCTCCTGCCTTGTGGAAAGGAACTGGGAATGTTCTCCCTGGTCATGAGGGAGATGGGCTCATCTCCATTCCCATAGCTCAGTCAGGGTCTTTAGAGGACACATGCTTGTGGAACTCTGCTGCCTGAGAACTGACACCACTAGGAGTCAGCCTGAGAACAGCTGCTTGGGGCAGGTTGTGCTTAGGACTTACCAGAGCGGCAGGCCATTCCCTCTGGAATTTGTAGACTCTGTTTTCTGAGTTCCATTTACACCCCCACCCCTAAGGCAGTCAGGCCCTGTTTTTCCCAACTTTTTACCAGGCCAGCCAAGCAAGGAGGCCCACCAGTGTGTGCTGGCCAGGAACAGCTGTTGTATAAATCAGAGTTTTATTTCTTGTGGTCTTTTTTCCCCACTCCCATCCTGGAGTTCATCCTGGCAGGCCGGGAAGGTATGAGGGCCCAGCATTCCTGACACACCAGAGCCTTGGGTGTGACTGTGACTGCTGTAGGTGTTTTAAACACTGGGCTGCTTCGAAGACTTGCCCTTGTTGCTCCCCTCCAGGGTAGGCGTAGCACTAGCCCTCAGGCAGTTCAGGCCACCTGAAGCTCTTAATAGAGCTTTGAGCTGGTGGCAGCTCTGGTGCCCCCTCCTCTCTGCTAGGAAGCACACACAATGTGGTCACTCCATTTCTTCTGTCTCTTTAAGGATGAAGAGCTGCAGGGTTGGGTTGGGGAGGGCACCTGTGGTTGTTTTTAATAGGAAGTACCTCTCGAGATGTTCATTCAGGTCCCTAGGGCCCCATGCTAGCACAAGGCTGGTTTCCATGGAGATAGGGCACCGAGGCACCTGTGAGGTTGGAATCGACTCCACTGTGGAGTCACTTCCCTTCCACCAGCCCCTACCCCTAAGCCAGCAGCAACAGTGCTAGGATGCCATACTTCCACCCAGTTCTGGGCCTATCAGTGTCTGGCAGAATCTTGGATCATTAAACTTATTTTTACTGCTTGTGTGGCTCTGGGCTATGTGGTTGGGGTTTGACATTAAAAGGAAGGGAGGAGGGTTGTGGAACCCAAGCTTCCTGGGCTGTTGCCTGGTAGACAGCTTAGAGCAGAGCCATCCAGGTATAGTTCTGTTTGAAGCTGGGATTGGGGAATGAACGAATCCACAGCCCCAGGAGGGTGGGGAAGTACCTTTTCTCTCTTACATAAATCACACAGCTCACTCCATGGTGGCACTGTGATAATCCAGGATCAGTCTGTGTGACTAAAATAACAGAGGCGTCAGACCAATTAGTATCACTTAGACAAGGGACAGGAGAGAGAAAGGAAGGGTGTTTGGCTGACCCTCCCTCCACAAGAGGCCAGTGTTCTGTCCTGAGCCTCCTTCACCTGACCATCAGGCTTGAGTGGGCTGCCTGCATCTGATCCCATCTTCACACTGTACAGCATTCCTTTGTTCCTCTCCATGGGACCTTCTACTGTGAGTAGAGCGGGGGTGACTTGTATTAGCTGCTTTTGCTTGGCTTCCTTCTGATCAAGTCCACCTTATTTACTGGCTGTTGTCACTACCAGTCAGTCTGGTCACTACCATAGCTCTTACTACCCGGGCGGCACTCCTGGAAGCCTCCTTGACCCTGCTTGTCTCTAGAAGATGAATTCATTCAGTGTGCCCCTGGGACCTCCACTTCAAGTCCAAGTCTCCTTTTCCCATGCATGCTGCATTTTTTTCAGTGGTGGTCACAGGCCAGGGCACAGAGTTTAGAGAAATGGGTGGCACAATGCTGCCTTCCCTTCTCCCCTTCCTTCTGCACAAGAACTTGGGAACTCATCTTTGAGACAGAAGTACATCCCTTGCTTTTCCTCAGATAGTCAGCCAGAGATATTTACTCACCAGACAGCACAGCGTGGGGCTCTTTATTACCCCTCTACTACCATGCCCTTCTGCTACAGCCGCTGGGCAACCAGAGGGGGAAAGGCCCCCACCTCTGTCTTCTGCTTGAAAGGTTGCTTGGTCCCTGGTAGAGTGGAAGGGAAACTGCATGGCTGAGGATGGCTGACTCACATAGTCCAGTGGGCATAGAGTAGGGCGAGGAGGATGAAGATGGCCACCGAGAGTAACATGTTCTTCCGATTCTCTTGCCGAAGCAGCTTTAGCTCCTTCTCTGGGAGGAAAAAGATGGGAAGAGAGAACACTGAGGCCCACCTAATTGCTTCTCCCATCCAGAATGGACACTCTGATAAAAACAAAAATGTCTCCTTCCAGCTACTCATACCCAAAACCTGGCCATGTCCTTGGTGTGCCCACACCCTATACTGAGACCTAAGATTAGGCCTGACTTGCTCAACCTTTTCTCTGAGTGCAGTAGGGTAATGTGCAAGGTCATCAAGGAGCTCATCCTTCAGGAGTCTCCAGCCAGCTGTTTATAGTTCACTCTGAGGCCAGTTGCAGCCTCCTTGGGCTCACAAAGTTCCGGAATTCCTGCTGTCCGAAGGTACACTAGAAAGAGCCCCAATACCCTTCATTCCCAGTCACCACTTGTGCAAAGGCGAAACTGATGTCCTGGCCATCCACCCCACCTATTCAATGGACTGGGAGAACTGCCAACCAGTTCTGGGTGGCCAGATTGATCCTCTGAGTAGAGAAGGGATGGGACACAGCTGAAGGGTCTGCAAACCACACAGTCCTAGCCTCAGGGATCTAATGCTCTGCTCCCAGCACCAGAAGGTGGCAGCATTGCTCTACCCACAGAAGCCCTTTCCTGCCCAAGTAGGGACTCCCAGTGTAGACGGTTCTGGTTGAGTGGGGCATGGGATGCAGAGTCCAGTATCTGTGGATGAGAACCTTGCCTCTGGACATGCACAGACACACCCCAGGGAATAGAGAGCCCTTGCTACTGTTTCCTCCTTTGGGGAAAAAAACAAAACCTTTTTCTCCTAGGTGCCAGGCATCAGGCTGGCTATAGGAGGGAACTTTCTTACCATACTTGGAGGCTTTGCTCATGAGGGTGGTTTTCTCCTTCTCCAGAGACCTCCTGTGGGGAAGGAGTTTGCAGGTCAGACCCTTTCTCTCCTGTCTTAACCAGAGGGGCAGTAGTTCTTGACTGTTTGAATAAAGGGACCAAAAACTAGGGCCTTAGAGGACAGGAGTTAAAGCTCAAAAAGTTAGGGATCCTTTTGCCTAGGCTTAGTTTATTTAGGAGACCAGGCTAGAGGGGCATAACTAGACGGGCATTACCTGTCCTCAGGACTCAGTTCTGCCCTGTACAGCCGGGAGGTCACAGCCTCCAGGTCCTTCCGACACTGAGACAGCTTCTCTTCTAGGCCATCAATCTGAAAGAGACAGAGGTGCAGAGCTCTAAGCTCTCCCAGCAGTGGTGCCCTGGAGAGACTCACCTCTAGGTCCACCCTACCTTTCCACCTATGTTTGTACTGGGCAGGACCCAGCTTTGCTGTTGACAGAGAGCTTCAAACTTTGAGCTGGCTGGCTGAGTCCCGAGAAACAAGAAGTGGGTGAGCCAGGCACAGGGTGGGCATGAAGCAGCAGATCCCCACCAGATCCCTGGCACCCAGCAGAACCTGCCCCATGGCTGGTTCAAGAAGGAAATGAACACTGCAGAGACAGCACAAGATACCAAGTCTCCATGTGGGAGGAGAAGGGTTAAATGTCGGGGGGTTAAAAAGTAGGGGCATTTTTCTCATGACCATGATTCATCCTAATAGTGCAGTCTGTGTTGTCACTATAGGCGTTTTTCTGAAAATAAATAAAAATTGGTGAAACAATGCAACTTAAAACCACTCCTCTCTCTTTCTGATGTGGCTCTTACGCAGAGATGTCGCCTATCATCAAGGTCAGCGTACCTCAATGGCAAAGTGGCTAAGCTCTTAAAAGAGGGCTGCCAGCCGTATCTTCTTCCATTTGCTGCCATTTCAGATATGTGATCTTAAAGAAAATACCTGAATTGTGGGAAAATGGTCTGTAAATGCTGGGCCAGGCTATCCAGACCTGGGTGTCAGTGTTATGCATTTGGCACTGAACACTATGATTCTGCCTTGACTTGGTCTCCAGGTATCTAAGTAGCTATTTCTCTGGGCCTAGACTGGCTTGCTAGTGCCTCACTTTTGGTCATGGGTGTGTTGAGGGCTCCTTGAAACCTTAAACAGTCCTCTTCCAGCTCTGACTTTTACCATGTCCCCAAGAGGGACAGCAAACAAGGCCAAATCAAAGGATAGCATTCCCTAGATGGAATAGTTTTCCTGAGGCGTTACAGGAACACCCTTCTGTCGCCTCAGCTCCGTTCCTTACTGGAGCTACTCAAAAGAAACTTGCCTTCTAAGCAGGCTGGGCAGAGTCTGGGTGTCCCAGGCCACTAGCCTGGGGTCAGGGTTCAGCAAAGTTGCACTTGAAGTCCCTGCCATCTCCCTGGACAACAGCCACCTCAGACATCGCTGGGTCAGCCACTTTGGTGGGTTCAGGTGAAAGGTATATTCCCTTTCCTGCAGCCCAGAAAGGAGGGCTCCACGTGAAGGAATAATCTGCAAAGATGCAAGGTAAACTGCATGGCACCAGCCTCTCAGCCAGCAGACTAAGCAGTCCCCAGAGAAGCCGGAAGCCTTCCTGGAACTGTACTGTAGAGAGGGGAACACCGGAGAGGAGGCTTGGGGACAAGCAGTCTGATATGGGTACTTCTGGCCACCCTGCAGTGTGCCCAACACAGGTTACTCCTGAGACTGTGACCTCGTGGCACTGCAGTGATCAGTCAGAGGCTATGCTGAGACCTAAATATTTTTTTTTTTTCTTCTGGTTTTTCAAGACAGGTTTCTTTGTAGTTTTGGAACCTGTCCTGGCACTAGCTCTGTAGACCAGGCTGGACTCAAACTCAGATACACCTGCCTCTGCCTCCCAAGTGCTGGGATTAAAGGTGCCCGGCCGAGACCTAAATCTTACTTATGCAGCTGGACCTTCCGCCCTGGCTGGAAGATACCTCTTTTACCTGGCAAAGTCAGCCTTTTCTATACTGCCCCTCCTGTTCAAGCTTTTATCTTCCCAGGCTGGAACCCTGGCCAATTCTACTTGTGACTGTGACCTGCCTGACCTCTAAGAATGTTCAAGTCTGCAGCTCCTTAGGCAACCTGCCCCCTTTTTTGCCCACAAGGCCTGGTCTCCTGCAGTCTTCCTATTTGTGACTAGAGTGAGCAGCAGCTCAAGTATGGGTAGACTGAGGGGCTGGGACCATATAGTTCAGGGTTTGTACAAGTGGTTTCTGAAACCCTTGGGTTCACTAAAACAAGAAAACAGCTGTGCTTGCACATAGCTGACACAGCTTGCCCCAGATGTCCAGTCCAGGTTCAGTTCTTTCTGCTGTTCTCTGGGCAGGACCCTGGTTTGCAGGCCATTCTGGGGGAGCGATCAGGTTAAGGGTTTCCATCCCTGAATGCCTCTGGAAGGCGACCAGGTGCCCAAACAAGTGGTAATTGCCCTAGAGCCAGGCCAGGCGCTCTTGCTGAGCAATGTCTTACAGCTGAAGCTGTGGCAAAGTCACTGCCATCATGCTCTGGACAGGGCCCGAGGGGCTGGCAGTCGGGGGCCTTTATCTGAACAAGCCCAATTTATTTGCAGTTACACTGAATATCCCCACTTTCATTTGCCACTTTTTAATGAGGCTTAAATGGGCGAACACAAATCAAGGTTTTAGGGACTCAGTTCTAACCTCCCTCTATGAATATTTATGTCCTGCTGACAATTCCGATTCCCTTCTAAATAGCAATGGACTGGGGTGGGGGAGGCTGAGCCTGAAGGAGGCTCTTCAGCAAGTCACAGATTCACCCTTGGGAAGGGACTAGACACCAGCAGCACTTGAAGCAGAGACCACTGTCAGAAACCGGAATAATGGGGCAGAAACTCCAAGAATTTCTATGGAGGAGGCAGGGAGGGATGGTCATAATGCTTTTAGATGTGACGTGGGGCAGCAGAACAGAGCTGTCCCAACAAGATAGGTCAAAAGAAAA